CATTTGCTTTTTCAAACTAAGGTACTACAATATTAAAGATGCTTGGCACAATATATTATATGCTCCTTGCCTAGCAGCACTGAGCACTCCTGATTGATCAATGCCAGAAAACGTATTGCTTTTCATAAGTTGGTAGGATAGATTTGTTGAAACAAACTGTTGTGGGTTTGTTTTACATCAAGATATAAAGAACTCAGCTGATTTCAAAAGTGTCCCTATAGCCACTTAAACAACAGAATCTTAGAGCAGCGGATTGCTGGACTGTGTGTTTATTAGCATAATTCAAAACCTGCACGTAACTCACCAAATTTGACAATAACATTTTAAGTTCTACATTTTGTAAACACATTGTATGTTCCAAGAGCAGTCATTGCTGGCAGGAGTCGAACCTGCATGGGGACACCCCAATGGATTTCAAGTCCATTGCCTTAACCACTCGGCCACAAAAACTACAAACTTCAAACAACTGAGGTAAGTTTCATAGACAGTAGGAAAACAATTGTTACACATCTGAGAAAGTTGGCAACATATTTACATTGTCATATCTACTCCCCACAAAGAGGTACATTCTTTGTTGGTCATCCAAGGTTGGCCAGTAAGTGAGTCTCTTCATTATCTCCTGGTCATTGTCATTCCAATTCAAGAGTAAATGGAACTTTCTAGGACACCTTCACTGTGACATGAAGCCTGATTTAAGGGAACTTATTACCAGAGAAGTTGTTGCTCAAGTCACTTTCACTTGTCCGTTTCAAACAATGCCCATCTACCAGCCATGTCGTTACACTCCCCTCTTTAAAACCAAGGTCAGTTCTGATTTGAAAAACATTTGCTTTTGTAAACTAAGGTACTACAATATTAAAGATGCTTGGCACAATATATTATATGCTCCATGCCTAGCAGCACTGAGCACTGCTGATTGATCAATGCCAGAAAACGTACCACTTTTCATAGGTCGGTAGGATAGACTTGTTGAAACAAACTGTTGTGGGTTTGTTTTACATCAAGAAGAAAAGAACTCAGCTGATTTCAAATGTGTCACAATAGCCACTTAGGCAACAGAATCTTAGAGCAGCGGATGGCTGGACTGTGTGTTTATTAGCATAATTCAAAACCTGCACATAACTTGTTAAATATCTTACCCAATTTGACGAAAACATTTCAAGCTTGGCTTTTTTGTTTACTGTAAACACTTTGTATGTTCCAAGAGCTGCTGATGCTGGCAGGTTTCAAAGCTGCACGGGGACACCCCAATGGATTTCAAGCCATTGTCTTAACCACTCGGCCACAACAACCACTATGCAAAAACAACTGAGGTAAGTTTTGTCGACAGTAGGAAAACAATTGTTACACATCTGAGAAAGTTGGCAACAAATATACAGTGTCATATCTACTCCCCACAAAGAGGTCCATTCTTTGTTGGTCATCCAAGGTTGGCCGGTTAGGGTAGATAAAATTTGCAGTTTGACTTCGTGGGTCATCCAAGGTTGGCCAGATAGTGAGTCTTTTCATCATCTCCGGGTCATTGTCATTACAATTCAAGAGTAAATGGAATTGTCTAGGACACCTTCACTGTGACATGAAGCCTGATTTAAGGGAACTTATTACCAGAGAAGTTGTTGATCAGGTCATTTTCACTCATCTGTTTCAAACTATGCCCCTCTACCAGCCATGTCGTTACTCTGCCATCTTTTAAAGCAAGTTCAGTTCTGATTTGAAAAACATTTGCTTTTGTAAACTAAGGTACTACAATATTAAAGATGCTTGGCACAATATATTATATGATCCTTGCCTAGCAGCACTGAGCACTCCTGATTGATCAATGCCAGAAAAGGTATTGCTTTTCATAGGTCGGTAGGATAGACTTGTTGAAACAAACTGTTTTGGGTTTGTTTTAATTCAAGAAGAAAAAACTCAGCTGATTTCAAGTGTCCCAATAGCCACTTAGGCAACAGAATCTTACAGCAGCGGATGGCTGGACTGTGTTTTTATTAGCATAATTCAAAAGCTGCACATAACTTGTCAAATATCTCACCAAATTTGACGATAACATTTTATGTTTGTCTTTTTTGTATATTGTAAACACTTTGTATGTTCCAAGAGCACTTGTTGCTGGCAGGATTCGAACATGTGCGGGGACACCCCAGTAGATTTCAAGTCCATTGCCTTAACCACTCGGCCTCAACAACTACAAGGCTCAAACAACTGAGGTAAGTTTCGTCGACAGTAGGAAAACAATTGTTACACATCTGAGAAAGTTGGCAACAAATTTACATTGTCATATCTACTCCCCACATAGAGGACCATTCTTTATTGGTCATCCAAGGTTGGCCGGTTAGGGTAGATAAAATTTGCAGTTTGGCTTTGTGGTCATCCAAGGTTGGCCAGTTAGTGAGTCTTTTCATCATCTCAGTGTCATTACAATTCAAGAGTAAATGGAACTGTCTAGGACACCTTCACTGTGACATGAAGCCTGATTTAAAGGAACTTATTACCAGAGAAGTTGTTGATCAGGTCATTTTCACTCATCTGTTTCAAACTATGCCCATCTGCCAGCCATGTCATTACTCTGCCATCTTTTAAAGCAAGTTCAGTTCTGATTTGAAAAAC